GAAAACAACGGCGATCCGACGAGTTTGAAAATCATGCAGTGTGAACTCGGCATAAGAGAGCATATGTTTCAGCTGGACCACAGGGAACCAGCGCAGCCTCCTACATTGTTGTTTGGGATAACGTCAGCTTCCATCGCGCTGCTCTCGTTCGTGACTGGAACCACAAGCAACATAACTTACCAGTTTTTGATATATTGTTTTGAATTTATTGCACCAGTGTGTGTAATACTATGTTGTAGTGTGTGTGTGTTTTTGAAAGCTTGTGTGTGATGTCTGAGGGAAAAGTTTGGTTTTTCAGCAAGAGTGAATGGTTTTGAGTGTAGAGCTTCATTTTGACCTGAAAATAGGATGTTTGGGGAATTGGGTGAGACGTTATGGATTTGTGTTTACTGTTTTGAGAATACGAGGCATAGTTTCAAGAAATGTGTTTAAGCAATCGAGAAAAACTGTAACAGATATTCATGCAAAGATCTCAACAATAGCAGGCTGCTAACATGCAGATGTTGTCTTGCTGTGTAAATAACCACACTCTCATTGAAACTTGCAAACACACTTACATCTGCTCCGACCAGTTCTACCCGTTACATACTGTCCATTCATTCGCCTTCCTCCCAGTTTGCATTTCCTGGAGAGGGTGTCAAAAGTGGTACTATATTTACAAATCATACCAAACTTTTGTCACTCATCAAAAAAGAAGAAAGAATGTGAATAGCTGATCCTCTAACTACACCTGTAATCATAATGTTGTCATGGAAAGAAAAAATAAACACTTTTTTTTTTTTTTTTTTTTTTTAACTCAAATGGTTTGAAGCAATTGGTTTCCAAAATGAAATGAGTTACCACATGGTACAATAACGGTAACATACTGTAAAAATGAAGAGCTGTAAATGAACAGTGCAATGCCGGCAACCACAGCTCCCAGTAGATTACCGCTATTTTACAGCGCAATTTTTTACAGTGTGGAAACAGTAGGCTATTGCATGTTTTATTTGTGCGCAGAAACGAATATAGGCCTATGTATATCAAGTCTTTATTTTAGGGGTAATCTCAGCCCACCATGACACTGTGTGGTTTGTTTTCATAAGGTCACATTTCCTCATTGCAGTGCTTTGCCCAAACACTGTATGCTTTTAAAGGGATAAAACTTTTCAAAACTTAAAATTATATCATTTATTCACTCATGTTGTTCCAAACTCAAGTTGATTTTTGCAGAGATCAAAAGAAGATATTTTGAAAATGTTTCAACTCTTTGTCCAGACTATGAAAGTCAATGGGGTCAAAAACAACACTGACTTTGACTGTATGTACATATCCTCAAAATAATTATCCCTTTAGCTACTCACACAAAGAAAGTGCTTATACAACTGAGAAGAGTCCTGCTGGAAAGTTGCTTGTGTGAGCTGTGTTACGTTATATGCATTACTAAGCACTTGTAAAGATTGTGAGAAGGCAGTTTTCAAAGTCGTTTTACTGGATGCATGAAGCACTATACAGAGCTGTAAGATGACAACATCATAGAGAGCACAGTATGCTTATACAATACGCAATAAATATCATCTCAGCTAATGCACAAAGCAGTTTAAGACCAAGGCAAGCCCTGTTCGTGTAAACATTGTCCAACATAAGTGCATGATGAATTAATTCATTAAGTCAAGGCAGGTCATTTTATTTGTATAGCGCTTTTCACAATCCATGTTGTTTCAAAGCAGCTTTAACAAGCCCTAATGACTTTAAAACCTCAGTAAACAAAGCCAAAAGTGACTGTGGCAGGAAAAACACGGCAATCTGAGAGATTTTAGAAAAGTGATTTAGCTTCGCATGTGAATGTAGGGCCAAAGCAGTTAAATTCTAAACCATGTAGGTTTTTTTTAAATTGATTTGCAAATACCATTTTTATATTCATCTGCTAAGAACCCAACTGTAACTGTTTATTATAAACAGAGAGTGTCTTCTGGATCAGGGCTTTGACATGGCCATTGTGGGACATTAACCTTTTGGTCTGGAGCCATTCCAATGAAAATCTGGCCTTGTTTTTTTTTTTTTTCCATTTTCCTAATGGGTGTATTTTTTAACAGACAAAAACTTGAGCAACATTTTCCAGCATCCGCTCCTGTATTTTTACAAGATTTCCTGTCCAATTCTGGTGAAAACCGCTCCATAGCAAAAAGATTTCTCGTCTTACAGAATTGAATGCTGTAAAATATTGTCCAAATCCAGACATCGGCTACTTTAATGTAATCTCTGTGAGTGTGTGTGTGTGTGTGTGTGTGTGTGTGTGTGTGTGTCTGATTTAATACAGCTGATTGCTGATTATTGTCGCAGTGGGTGCTGTTGCTTGATCTACACCAAGTATTTCTCAATCCTGCTTCTTTTTTGATGCCTCTCTTATCTAAGTCCTGATTCACCTCATTAGTTCATTAGTAATGTGCTGCTCTGTGACCTGAACTGAGTGTGTCAGATTATTGAGATACCTCAAACAAACAGCATTGAGAAACACTGATCAAATGATTAGAACAGTGTTACACACCCTTAATTAATTTATTTACCTATTTATTTCTATCATATATGTTTAAAATATTTCTATTAGCACTGTAAGAAATAAATGGGGAAAGTCCTGGTAATTATCTGCAAGGACATTATCTGTGAGTTTACAGACATTTCTTTAACCTGAAAACACAATTAAATGCAATATATAGGCTAATTGAAAATACGGGTAAAACACCTATATAAAACCAAGATAGAGATTTTTTTTGATTGTTTTACTGACATTTTTGTGCTTCATGATTTCAGCTAGACAAATGAAAGATCAAGGCTTCCATAAATACTTCTGCTGATGGAAATACAGTAAAAGCAATAAAAATATCACTGTGAAGCAAAAATTGATGCAGTTAAAAATGTAATACTCCATGGATGGAAAATAATGAAAAACATGTAACGACAATCTTGTGACTTTATCTTGTATTGTGTCCCATGAGCAAAGTACTCCACCTAGTGACTGTAAGGCAAAGAAAAAAAGCCATTTACCCCTGGACCACATACAAGCCATTTTTCTTTTGACTGTATTTTTCACCCTAAGTGGTACACTAATTTCTCGTTAAATTCAACCAATTGTTGTAATTCAGTTTGGAATATTTTATAGGCTGTAAAAAGAGAGTTTGAATGCCTGTTTATCACTGTTAACCAAATTGTTTTTAAGTAGGCTAGTTTGACAAGACAAGATTGACAAGATTCATCCACTCCATATGAACAAAGTTTGTGAAGTATTTGTACTTTGGCTTTTCCAAACACACGCTGATAACTTTGCGTTGTCCCCCGACACCTTACTACCGAGATACGGACAGTTATTACAGGCTGCCATCTACTGTCTGCTAAACAAGAACATTTGAATCAGTGCATTTGCTCCACCTGCTGGTTTCATACTATGCTTATTTTCTCTCTATATATAGTGAACTGGTTGCATTAAAGGGGTCATATGATGCGATTTCAAGTTTTCCTTTCTCTTTGGAGTGTTACAAGCTGATTGTGCATAGATAAGATCCCTGAAGTTGCAAAGACTAAAGTCTCAAAACCAAAGAGATATTCTTTATCAAAGTTACTCAAAGGAGGGGGCTTTGTAGAAAACGAAGCGTTTGAGAGAGGCGGGGCATAGAGGACCTACAATAATGTACAGTATTTGAAAAATAATGTGTTTTTTGAACATTAAAGCATGTCAACATATTCTGTTACACCAAATACACAAAATAATGATCTTTAAAAAAGCATCATATGACCCCTTTAAGCATCTTTTAGCGCCTAGCCTACTGGTAGATACTGTAACTACACCACTGCCATTTAGCTGTGTATTCTGATGAAATTGCTCTTTGCCATCTTATAAACAAGAAATGGACTATATATATATATATATATATATATATATATATATATATATAA